TATTTATTTATTGTTCAAAGTCATAAAAATTATAACCTTTACCCTACCAATAACTAATACGGTACTAATAATACTAATAACTTTACATATGTCCAAGACAAAGGTGTATCCACAAGGGTAATGTCATCTAGATAAGAGAAATAAAAGGGTGAGTTTTACCGGTGTTCTAACTACGGTAAACTGAGGTTGGTAAATTTTTTTAGCTGAAACGTCGTAACTGTCAATTCTTCCAGATTAAACAAATTTACAACGTTCAACTTAATTACCATAAACTATGAAAAGTAATTATACAAGAATTTTAAGTTCAGTTATGGTCTCACGTTAACCAATAACCTTTCTTTGTGATTTGGAATGTTGAAAAATCTAAAATATATCAACTTAAAAATAATTTCCAGTGGAATAATTAAAAAAAACAACAGTACAGAAAGTATGTATTTGCGCTACACAGAGGAGACACTATTTCTCTAAGACTTTCAAATCCGTTTTTATACAGGAAAAAGAAAAAACAGGACTAGTAAATATATTTTTTGGACAGAACTTTTACTCGACTAGTCTCAAAACCTGGTGAAATACTACAGTATTGTTACAAACGCGAACACATTTGGTAATCGGTTCAGTGGTTGGTTATCATGGTGGGGGGCGTGGGGGGGGGGTGGAATAGTGGACTTAGAGGAGGATCTCGTGGTGACAGAAAGAAAACATTGGTTAGTAGGAGTCTCCCCGCACCCCTCACCGAGGAATAAAGTAGATTTCATTGCCTGTCTCCTTAGCGTGACAAACTTTTGTCCCGCTTTGTCCCCCTAATTCACCTATGATAGTTACTAGGAGCAAACCATAAAGGCTCGGGCTTGAAGTCTCTGACGCAAACACATATGACGACTCTGGACATTAATTATTAAAAAACTTTTGTCGATATTATCCCTCTGGAAAATTACACGAAGTTTACAAAACTTTTTACATTAGACAGAACATTAACTAAGTAACAATTACGGAAACATACTATTTCCACCCTTCACCGAGGTCACCGACCGACCAAGATGTCCGGTTCACTTTGGAAAGTGGAACCCCCGTCGAGCGTTCAAAGACCTCCTTTCCTTCTTAGAAGTTCTTCGCTGGATGAATGTTGTTTCACCGGGTAGTCATTCCCTAAGACCCGTTTAACGGCAAAGGCACAAACACTCCATTCTGGGAGATGTCATATTGTTTGCCTTTCAGGGTCTAAAAACGCAAGTGTGTTTAAGACAAATTGATTGGTGTTAGACTAAAGACAGTAGGAAATCCTAATACAAGTTCTACGATTGGACTCCCGAAATCTCGGCTCCTGCACATGTTAGACGCTCAGGGGTCAATGCGTTTATAGTTGTGAGTGTGTCTGTGCTCCTGAATCAGCCTCTCCTCTCCCCCCTGCTCCTCTATGAGGCAGCAGCAAAGACTAGTTTTAGCTCTCAACAAGTTTTAAAAGTATATCTTGCCTTTTTTCACCTAGTTAACTTTTTATTTATTTATTCATGCATATTTGACTAATCACTACCCTCTCAAATGGAAATATGTGTTTACATAAATGGTGACCAAGCCGTTTGAGACCCACTGAGAACTTAATAATAATAATACATTTATTTTGGGGGGCACCTCTCATAACACCCAAGGACACCTTACAGGGCATAGGGGCAATATATGGCACAATTAAAAGAGTGGATTTAGTGAAGTATTAGCCGGGGTAAGACAAGACAAACAACAGGAAATTGACTACAAAAGGACACAAACTTAGACTAAGTTAACTATCTTAACACTCAGAGAGTCCTTTGCCTCACCGGAGGTTATCCCGAGCTTGAATGACACAAAGAGACCAATCAAGGGCTTTGATTTATGATCTGTATGACAGTGGCCATGTTGGCAGGACACATCATGTAGACAGCCAGTCACCCTGTGTGAGGCAGACCTCTTAACAGGCCAGGCCATCGGGAAACCCCCCGGTCCTCCCGATGGCCAGTCCGGGACTAGGTATAGGAGGCGTAGAGTGAGGGATCATTGTTCACAAGTTAATCGATCGCAGATGGCGTCGTGGTCACGGACAAATAAAAAAATAAAACATTAAAAAAATTATAATTAAAATAAAAAAACTAAACAGGTCGCGAAATATACTTGGGCGGCCTTTACTATACCTGGGCGGCCCGCCCAAGTATAGTCTATGTGTGGGAAACCCTGAATACTGTTTGACAAACTGGTGGTTTGCTTGTGCCACAAACCACAAACCCATAGAACAGCTGTACAAGAGAGCTATCAAGGTGTTTGACAGAAAGCCAAATTCATCCACAAAAAGCACACTGGACGCTGCACTAGGTCAGAAACCAGAGGAGACTGAAGTCCACCGCAGACGGACCACTTTTGGACAAAATGTACTTTCAATTAAAGGCAGCTCATTCTGGAATAGCCTCCCAACTGAGATACAGGATTGTCCCACTCTCAATAGCTTCAACGGTCAACTCAAAGAATGGTTGAGCAACAAACAGACGTGCAATCACCGCTAAATGCACTTTAACACAGGGGTATCTCCTCGTGCACTTTAGGTAGCTCTTGTATCTTCTCTTGCACTTTACATGTCGTTGCTGCTGTAGTGTATTACCATGTCATAAATACTTGTGTATGCTGCTCTTGCTCTCTTGCACTTTTTGCATATCATGTATTTTGTTTTTGCTATGTTTGTAAAATGTAAACTTCTTAAATGTTTTATGTGAGGGACTGCGGATGGAAATGAGCTCAAAGCTAACTTGACACATTTGTAATGTTTTAAGTGCTCATCACTTTGCATTGTCCCTGCCATATAAACGATTACAATAAATACAAATAATGTTGACTTGGGTGTGTGATAATAAGAGAAATAGCTGTTTATGAGTTAGTAACTGATGTTACCTGCTCCATCCTCCCACATTAGTTCGATACAGACGATGTGCGGCTTGAGTTTGGGCTCAGACGGCTCCACATAGACGAAGTCCCCGACGTGGTAGGTGCTGTTTTCAAAGCTGCAGCTCTGAATGTACACGCGCTCCGCCTCAGACTCCGACTGCCACTTCTCTCCTGGCAGGTCCTTGGCCTTTTCACCCTCTGTGGATAAGGAATATAGAATTATTTCAAATGAATACTACATTAACATTTGACCATATTCCTCAACCCTGTGTATTGTGCCTGATGTTCACAGACACACACCTTTGTTTTCCTCCTCCTCCTCTTCCTTTAGCTTGTCTTCCTCCATCTCTTTGGGGACCTTCTCCCTCTTTTCCTGCTCCACGTCGCTGTGCAGGTGCTTTGAGGTGTAGTTCAGAGAAGTGGAGAGCAGGATCTCTCCGTTCTTGCATAGCTCATCCCTGATCTTAATGAAAAACTGTTGAAGTTCCACCGCATCCTCAAAAATCTCAGAGTCGGTCCTGCAAATGCATAAAAGATATGACTTAAAAACTGTTTTGAACGCTTTGGCTTTCAATGGAGATTATCACTCTGTTATCTGAGGTGCTGCTCACACGGGAACATTTGCGTTTATGCACAGTATGCGTTTTTAAAAAAGTCTTCCGTTCACACGTATTCGTTTCATTTGACGTGTCTGTTCACACGAGAACGCTGGAAACGCTGTAGTACATATGCCGGGACTGTAAGTGGCGCTGTAACCTCCGCCACAAAATACACCAAAAGCAGCGAAGAAGACCCCGGAGCATGGTTGCCCTTCTGTTTATGCTCCTTGGTGGATTTAGCAACATGTGGTAGTTCATGTAACTCTCCATGTCCACTTGTTGCTGATGGTTGTGGTAGAGGAGCTGTAGATTTTGCACTAACATCTGTAGCATGGTCAGTAGCAGTAGCTGCTACAGCAGTGAGCAGCAGAGGTGTGGAGAGGCGGGGCAATGGCTTCATCTATCGGGAAATGATCGTATAGAGGCGATTACACTGAGCCGTTTGACCCCCCAGAGCGTTTCGTTTGCAAATCTATCCACCTTGGGACCCGTTATCGTTTGAGGGGTCCGTTTCTATCGTTTTGTTACGGCCTCGTGTCAATGAAAGGGCTATACGCAAGAGAAACTATGCGGATCCAGCCCGTTTTGTTGTCGTGTAAACGGCACCTAGTGGAGTACTTCGTGACCACAGAGTGTGAACATTGTGATCAGCTGTTTTAGCGCAGTTCTCCAGTGAAGGGGGGAGTCTCCCTCCGCAGCCGTTTGGCGTATAGTTTTGGCACAATTCCGTTGTACAGACCGACGTTAACAGCAGCCCTGTCTGTGCACACGGAGACCGACTCTGTCGTCCGGTGATCTAACCGCCTNTCACTTCCTTCAGAAACGAAGCAAGTATACTTACAAGCCACGGCTTCGGAAAACAAAGAAGAATGGAACAGGCTAACAAGTGTGCCACTCTCTCTAACAGTTTCAACATAAACTGTACCGAAAATAAATACCTCACGATATCTATCTAATTATGAACTTGCTTTACTTTCACGGAACACATTTTTGGTGATAACAAATGCAACAAAGTAACATATTTACCAACACATGTTCTACGCCACTACATACTTACATTTAAATGTGTGCTGTGCTGCGTCGGTTCAGCCATTCTCCGCAAGGGTTTTTGAAATTGGTCCGTGCGCAAAGCATTGTGGGGATTTGAAGGATGTAAAGTCTACCCATGTGCAGCCTCGAAATTACCCCCAAACCAAGGACGTGGCCTCGGTGGAATTCCAAGTATGCTGGTGATTGGAACAGTCCTTCGGTGGCACTCGATGACGTAGTATCCTTGAAATATTGGCTTGGAAGCCAGTTTCCTCGCGATTGAGAAACGGCCGAGATGTCCTTCAACATGGCGCACTGAAATTCATTTCCGGGTCACTACCGGAGGACCGAGGAGTCGAGGAGTCGAGGAGTCGAGGAGTCGAGGAGGGGGATTTGATGAAATGAGAAAGGGCCCAGGTCTGCTCCTGGCTCCGCCTCTGCAGGTGTTCCAAATTCCACTCAGCCGTGTATATATAAAGAGAAGGATGTCTCGCCTATCCTAACGCCGGAGACACTGTCCTTAGAATACCTCTTTGCCATTTTGAGCTGTCCATATTTTTGCAATATGTGTCCTGGAGGACCTGGTAGTCCAGTTTTCGCGGCTCTATTTTGTTTCCCATAGGGTTTATATTTGATTTCTGGTTAGTGTGGGGGAGGTCTGGGTCCTACGGCCCGTGGTGTGGCTGGCTCGGGTTCCCTCCTTCTGTTTGTTCCTTTTGGCCAGTCCTCCAGACCTCTTTTTGTTTCCCGTTTCGCTTGTGTGAGCAAACGGCTGATTATCAATAAATGCTTGTTACCAAGTAACGGTTATTGCGTGTATTCTTTCATGTTGCGGATCTCAGCACGAGCCACTACCGCGGAGTAGAGATTGGGGCCGTAACAACATTCAAGACACTGTGAAATGTACTTTGCACTTCAATGGAGAAATAAAAAGTTAAAATGGGCATTTTCTTTGTTTTTCTTTGTTGATTGAGCTGATTGAATTGTGTAGTTATGGTAAAATCCCAGTTAACTAGTCAAATGTACAATATATTATCGTATTATTTACATTTGTATATTTACAGCAAATTACTGGCTACTGTGTTGCCTTACTTCTACAGTAATAGTGTGAAAATACAGGTAATTACTGTAATTTATGTACAGCAAGGTACCACAGCTCTGTACTGCTATATCACAGGAATTCCATGGGCATGGCAACTGTAAAGTCACAGTATTTAGTTGTACTTGTATTCTAATTTACTGTAAAATATCTACAGTAAATGACTGTGAAATATTTACATTCAATTACTGTGAAATCCATGCAACTAGTAGCCAGTAATTTACTGTAATTTTACAGCCAAACATTTTAACAGTGTATGAGTGGTGTTTGGATAAATAATTCAAAATGCTGACATTACCGAGACATTTTGGGGGCTACGAAAATGCTCAGCAGTCGCAAAAAGACATTTATAGCAATATCACTTGCCTCGAAAAAAGCAAAAATAAACTATTTTTATTCTACTCAATAATAGATAGTAAATGCAGTGTGGCTGTTTTGAGGGAGACTAGACTGCATTATGGATTGTGGCGATGCTGAGAGGGAGAACAGTGTGCATTTACACAGTCTCCCTACATGAGCGTGGGAGAGATCTCAGGAGTCGGCCTGAGCGTTGTTAGCAGCCGCAGGGATCCTACATGTGTGTGGAACAGCACTGTCATGCAATACACAATGGGAGTCCAAGGTTACTATTATAGCAACTTATTTTCCATCTGTCACACTGTGGAGCATGTGAAGACCTCTCACACTCAACTTCACTTTAATATGCAACCTTTAATAAAGACTTCACAGAGCTGTTGTCCACAACACCCCGGGAATAACGAAGCAAATCTCTCTCAATTTCTGTTTATTCTGCCTTTAACATTCATTAACTGTTCATTACAGTTATCGTGCAACCCTGAGCATCCATCAGTGCACCTCCTCCCATCATCGTGTTATCATAAATGCCCATGTGGATCTGCGGTAATCCTTGAGATGGCTTTGTACCGCGGCCATCTTGTGCTCAACGAACCAGCGCAGCAGAAACGTTTGAATGTTGAAGCTGATGCACATGAGGAGAGACGATTATCACACACATCTCCGGTTTCATTTTTCTAAAAGTCCTTAAAATAATCTCAAAACGAAATCAAATAAAGCTCCAATTTGCATCGACCCATAAAAGCATTGTAATGTGTTTATGTCTGCAACATTTACAGTAAGGGTTTCCTCAGAGGGTCAGGAGTGTAAAACCTCTATTCTCTGCGTGTTATAATCTCTTTAGACTAAAAATAGAAAAAAGATAATCTTTAACACATTTAAAAAAGAAAAAAGTCCTGTCACGGTGTAATGTATTTGTTTCGTCAGAAAAACAATTCAAAACCCACAGAAAGATCTCACAACAAGAACTTTTAAAGCAAGAGGCTTTAGCTTGAGTTACATAAGTATTATTTAATTATCAAAAAGCTTCAATGTTTACTTTTCAATTTATAATTCAATGAATCCACAGATTGTGTAAGATCTCGCTGGTAAGATTAGAAATTAATCAATCACGAAAAAATGATAATGTGAGCCTCAAACACAGCTGTCTTTAAAGAGAAATGAGCAGGGGAATATGACGCAATGAAATTACCAAAATCATTGTTGATGTGACAGACCCCTGGATAAACATATATACTGTCCTTTTTCAGTTTGACAAGAATCACAGATGACAGCAACACGAGTATCATTATGTCAACATGGCCACATTTTTATCAATTTACACCTCTATTGTCAGAATTATACGACTGTAGATATCTGATTTCACATTTTGACTCAACTTTATATTGTATGTGACCTGATCCATGCTACTCCTTAAAAGAAAATACATTCACGCACACACACTACTGTTGCCGTGAGACACACTGTAATCAAACATCCAGTTGCTAATTTGTAGACGTAGGGGTGGGCTCTCAGGGGGTTTGGGAAGAGGAAGACAGGAAGCCACTGTAGCTGTTATTCTGAAATGATAAGATTTATGTAACAGCTAACGTGTAAGACTTAGCATTAGATAAGAGTGAAACGATTGTTGTCAATTTCTTCAGTCTTCTTGTTGCCATATCATCTGATATATTTGATGCCAATAAATAATCCTGGCATGCACATTATCCTGCTGTAAACAAATTCAAATAAATAAGTCCTATATGAGTCATTGGCCTCAAGACTCATAGCTGACGCTCGGCTGTTTTTGTGTACATGAACAAGACTGTCACAGCATATTTTTAGACATTTTTTAGATTAAACCTCCACTCGAACGACAGATATATAGATAGATAGATAGATAGATAGATAGATAGATAGATAGATAGATAGATAGATAGATAGATAGATAGATAGATGGATGGATGGATGGATGGATGGATGGATGGATGGATGGATAGATAGATAGATAGATAGATAGATAGATGGATGACACATTAATTAAATGCGCTATATCTGGTAATTATGCATCTGTATAAGTGTGATGGTGTCTGCCCCAAAGCCATCAGCATAACACCACAGCATGGGTCTCTGTCTGACACTTACAAAACCACACGCACACACACACACACACACACACACATATTGTAGAAGACGCTGTTATCCCAGCTGTCCATACGGGAAAATATTGATTCACACATTCTCATATCGCTGTCAGCGTCTCTCAGTGTTACCTCCATGAAGTATGCTCTTATTACCCTCTTCCATGTATTTAAGGCTTCATCTGACAGTTCATCATGATGAATTGTAACATGAAGGGCTGTTAGTAAACAACATGGGTGAAGACACATATTTAGAGGCCCAGGATTAAGCTGCAGCTGTTTTTTTTTATTAATTATGTTTGTTGGTGATAAACTCCTTTTTTAAGTTTCAGTAGCTAACAAGCCAAAACTAACAATGGATTTAATAAGTTACACTATGAACAACATAAGAAACATCTTAACATTCCAAGACTTTAGAAATATTTGAATATAGCGCTGTATCAAAGTAATCATGTATCTAAACAGGCAGTCACTGAATGACGCAAGTAAGAATTCCTAAACCTTTTATAAAATAATATCAGACTAAAACACAGCTGAGTTATTATTAAGTGTGTAGATGCTGACACTCAACTCTCCTTTCTGAACATGAACATTCAAACAGAAAGGATGATATGATACAGAGAATACAGTCCCCTGACTTAAATGTGTGACAACTCTAACCCAGTCACAACCGTAACCCCAAACTCAAGACAATAAGCTCTAAAAAGCAAATTCTGCAAAGAGCTGCATAACTTGTTTGAATTCTCCATTCAATTCTGAGTAGAAGCAGCAGTAATGTCATCCTTTTTATAATAGGCCTTTTACATTTTATATCAAACAAAGCACATCAATGCATCCATAAAAAAGATACAACGATTAAGTAGTAAGAAATGGGGGCGGAGAGTTTTAAGAACTACTCGTGCACTCCAGGTGGATAGTGTGTAGGAGAGATACAGTAACATTTTGACCATGCAGTACTAAAACACTGCTACCACTCATTCTGGTTGTTTATAGAGAACAGTGAGGAGTTGAGAGGTTTGATCTACACATTATTTTACAGTTCAGCAATTGTTAGTGAATGGACCAGTCCCCATCTTTGTTTATATGAATGTATTAAGTTGTTTTTCTGTAGATAGTGTGAAATGGGATTGTACTGTTTGTCCAAACATATCACCTCTCGTCTTTCCCTCTCTCTCTCAAACACTCACAAACTCACACACACACAATATGGATTAGGCTAAAAAGAGAACGCTTTTTTGGGACTCGGAGGCATATTGGGCTTAAGGGGAGCGCTTGCCAGGTGAGATCGATAGACTTATGGATGCTCGAGGCTGTCAGCAACAGGCCCAAGGTGCATGACTTTGCCTGATTGATAGTGTATCTTTGGAACAAAAAAATAACATTATTCAAAGTATTGGACATTCCAGCTAACACCAATCATTTTGACTGCAAAAGGGATTTAATAACATCACAGTCTCTCGGTCCAGGAGCCAGTTGCACCAGCTGTTCATAAATTAAAACTTAGCCTAGTTAAAACGCAATGGTTTATTGAGCTGACATGCATGACTACATTTAAGCAAGTTGCACTACACAAACTCATTATACCCAACTCTTTTTTTAAACTGCATGGCACTTAAACACACATATTTATCCATCTAGGCATTTCAATAATAAAAAATTAAAACTGTGACTTTATACCAACATGGCATAGGCCATTATTAATATATCATGTGTCATTTTAACTGGCCCCATGCATTGCTTTGAGACAAGCTGCCAGCATGCAGGGATACATCTGTCCACAGGAAACTGAACTACTTGTCATTGAACTACTTGAACTACCAACTATCATGTCATTTCTCCTTTTAGGTCTCATTAATACATCATAATTCAAAAATAAAAAAAAAGGTTTGGACAAAGGTATTGAACTCTAAGTGATGTTATGGGACATTTAATGAAACTGTAAAAAGAAAGCCATCAGTGTTGTCAGT